CTGTAAAATGAGCTTCGGTGAAATAAACTGTCGGTGAAATGAACTTGTCGGTAAGTAATTGTCAGTGAAATGTGGTATCTACGAAGTGATTGTCTGTGAGTTGATGGGATCCCAATAGTACTACGGTGCTACCGTTACTAATTAATTAAATAGACTCGACATTGATAATTAAATGTTTAGATCTCTTAACAAGTAAATAAAATTTTCTTGTCAATTACTTACCCACACTTGGCTCTTTGACCGATTGCCTTTATTTACACTTAACAAATAGAAGAACTCGTTGTTAATAATAATCCATTATACGAACTTGCGGTTAATTATAGTGCATTATATTACAGTAATCAACCCACTTTTGGAACACTGTATAGTAACCAACCTGGATTTAATATCCATAATGAGCCTGAATTTAATATCCATAATGATGTCGTATATGAGATTGATCACTCTGAACATCCTGAACATATAAACAATAGTATGATTAGTCTTGAAGGTGCTCAGCACGGGGATATGATAGAACATGAGTGGAGTCATATGTTGAATGGTGTTCAAAATGAGGAATTAAAAGTAGACATGATGTTTTGTGCCTGGGACCATGCAATGAACGAAATCAAAAAAGTATAGAAAGAGATAAGGGTTTAAGACACACTGTTACCGTGTTGAAAGGTCTAGTAACTACATTCGGAGACATACGCTGGTTTGCAAACATTACAGGAAGCCTGAAGCTACAAAAAGCAAGGATCCCAAAAAAGAAACTACTTCTAAACGTATTGGGTGTATATAGCAGATAAATCTTTCATGCCCTGAGAGAGATAATCCTCATAAAATAGTATACATTACAAAATTAATTGATGTACATAGAAATTATGAACTTAACTGTGTGCATTTTGACTTTCAGGAAAGCTTTGAGTTTATCTCGAATATGGTTAGAGATGTTGAGTTTTATGTGAGAAAAATAAACTGTAACCCCCAACAGATTCGAAAAGCTCTAGAAGAAAAATATACAGTAAAAGTTTACATGCCTGTGCTCTATCAAATAATTTGACAATTTTAATCCAAGATTCATGACTATGCTAGCCGTCTATATGAAAAATTGTTAAAAAAAAAAATAGACTCTTGATGGTATGTTGAAGTAGATTGGGATCCTCATAGTAAATGTCTTTGCTGATTATTTTATATGTTATCTAATCAAATTGAATGGTGGTTGAAATTTGGAGATATTATTTTAAATGACAATAAAGCCACTACCAATCATTATGAAATAGTGTTATCTTCTTTCTGGTAGTTAACAACTATTTATCTTCCCATTTAGTAGCTCAGACCTTAATTGATGATAAAACAAAGGAGGCTCATATTTGAAAATTACAACAAATTAAAAAAGCAACACTTGAAGCTATTCCACATGTTATATTTACTGATGCTAACCCCACTTTGATTGCTGCTATTTGGGATAAATTTTCAACAACACATGCTCTTTAATGCATGTTTCACATTGCACAAAACCTTTCTTTCAATTTAAAAAATACTTTTAAGGACTTTTTAGAAGTACAATGGAGTAATATTATAGAGATTTTTGAGTACCAGTGGAAGCATCTACTTGAAAAATATAACTATAGTCATACCTGAGTTATATCCCCACTGGGTTATATCCCAACCTGAGTTATATCGCAGGATAAATTTCCCTTTTTTATATAGTTTATATATCGAGTTATATCCCAACCTTAGTTATATCACCAAAAATGCTCTGGAAAAAAGGGGGATATAACTCAGGTACGACTGTATAGAAATGTAGTTGCTACTTATAATGAATACTTTATACTAACAAGAAATTATGAGCAAAAGCATTTGTATTTAAATTGTTTATGACCAGAATGTTTTCAACTTCTTGGGTTGAAAGCTACAATTCCAAGATTAAAAAATTAATATTTAACTCCAATACAACCTTGTTAAAGCTTGCAGAAAAGCTATCAACATGTATTCTCGAGAAGGACCAAAAGACAGAATATGCTCTTTTTTGTGTATTAATTCTCAAGGCAGTTCTGGTCACAATGGCTAATACTATCCTTTCAAATGTCTATAATATATTACAGAAATATCTTACTGTTGAAATATTGAAGATTCAAGAAGATTAAATAAAACAAGCATTTCATTACCATGCTATAAAAATAGTAGAAAGTGAACTGCAAAGATATAGTTGTCATTTTTTACAAGCATTAATATTAACATTAATTGATCTTGATGATCCTAACTTATTTGGTATAAATCTAAATACTATTGATATTGTGGCTAAGTCAATGCTTAATTTTATTGACAAGAATAATATTATAAAAATGTAGAGAATTCGACAAATAAGATCAAATGAAATATAGTATTTTATAGTACTCTTAAATGATAAAACTCACTTATGTTCTTGTTTTAATATTTGCTATCATAAAATTGTTTGCCAGTACTTTTTTCAGATAATGCTATATACACAGGCTGCAACATTCCATATTCAGCTAATATAATCACGGTGGTATAATGATAGTATAACTAATAATTCTGCAGAAGAGTCATTTTAGTTGTGCAAGATTTGAAATAGAGTAGTTAATGACAATGAGTTGAAATGGTCCAATACCTTATCTTAATATATTTACTCAAAAAGTGTATAATGTAAATCACAAGGTGATTGATAAATGGAAACTATATAGAGGTATGGGGCAAGGCAAGAGCGGTTTTAATAGTAGCAGTTCAAAGTCATGATTACAGTTTTATTACTATGTTTGACAAATATTTGAATAATTGTCAATCTGATAGTGATACAACTTCAGATAGTGAGACTGAAAGTGAAACTGATAGTAAAACTATATTGAATTCAAGTAAGTTAATAAACTCTAATAAGCATAAAAAAAAAGGTCATCCAAAGAGAACAGACAGAATAAGATGTGCAAATAAGCCATCAAAAAAGGCAAAGTGTTAATTATATTGCAAGATTTGTAGAAGTCTTGGGCATAATTAGGTAATCTGTTCTTAAAGCCAAAAGTAGTTTATTTATTATATTAGTTGTATACAATATGTGGAATCTACAGTATATTAAAACATCAATATTAATCTGTTTTAATAAATCAATTTGCTTTCTTGATATATTTATTGTTTGCTATTAAACTTGAGTTTAAAATTGATTTATAGTCAAATATAATGATAACTTAAGATTAAATTAGTATGATTTGCTTAATTTATACATATATAGTCATGTAGAATTCTTCTTCTAATTTAGTGTTAAGTATCAGGAAATTGTAGTTAATCTTTTATATATGTAACATATTTACTGTATGAAATGCATAATTGATGAAATTGTACTTATACATAAAGGATCAACAAATTTTAGATTTGTGTGACTAATCCTTTGAATGTGTATATGTACGTACATATAACTAAGGTATACTTGATAAATTAATCATGTGAAAGCAAAATCTTAATTGTCTAGAGTATAGCGAAATTAGTTATAAATCAAAAACATAACTTTGAAGAATGCCTGTTTATACACGTGACAAGATACATTTCTAATACATAATTATAGACTTCAGACATACAAGGCTGTATATTAATCTAATATTTACTGTACTTATATAAAATATATATATATTGTATATAGTATATAATATATAATATATATATTATAAATATATAATTAAAAATTTAGCAGAGGTGTTGCAACTTAGTGTAGTGGTCTAGTTGCCACACTCTCCAAGTGGCAGATCTAGAGTTCGAATTTCATAGACAATAATATTTGATAAATAAACCTGTGTTTGGTTGATAGCTATGCTTATTAGTTGGATCTAGAACTAAATCTGCAACTTCGATCACACTATCTAGTAATAGGAGCTTTGGCACAATAAATCAAAGAAACTAGTGTAACTAAAAACCCATTTGGAAAGACCCAATTTGGATGTAATAGTGATCTTCAACAGTATCTCAGAAGAGCTGAATTTGAACCGAGGCTTGAAATTAGAAAACTAAGTAATTAGATTCTTAAGTAGGGGAATACACTAGCTGAACTACCAGGCTAACACACCAGAGGAAAAGAGCATATGCTTTGAAAGTATGAACCAAGAGGAGGGCATCCTTCAGACACCTAAAGCTTGAGCAAACCAACCCATCTAAGTTGCTAGCTAGAAGTAAAAAAGAGACTAATAGAGAATTTGGATAAGGAGATAGTTCCAAATATGGGTACTGGGTAGTTGTAAACTGATTAAGGGCAATGAATATGTACAGTCGATACTGTCTAATTGCATATACTTTCTAACTGCATATACTGTCTATATGCATGAAAAGTCTCTGATAGATAGCATGCAATTAGACAGTATTGACTGTAATAGAAAATTAATTAGAAAGGTTGTGGCTTGAGATACAGATCAGATTACAGTAGCGCTTTAAAGACAGTTTGAGATACAAATTCAGTGACAGCAGCACAACATGTACTAACTAGAAAGATATTATGAAACATGCAGCTGAATGCATATATAAGACATATACTACTTTGTTGAGCTTATTTTTAAGAATAGTAAAGTGTTCTAAGTTGGCTGATTATGTAGTGGTATTACAAAACCTACATTTGAATAGTGAGTTACACCTATGTTAAGATGAGTATCAGACTAAATATATTAAGATCAAAAGGTTTAAATAGGTAATCATGTAGTTGGGTTGCAGGTATAACAAATAGTGTAGAACCATTGAGCAAACTACTTAAATTAGGCACCAAAAGTGCATGTGTGGCTTGATGTATCTTTGTTATAATGTATAGTATTTGAACTCGACTTAATAAAATTCGCCAACTCAGAATGTCTCCTTTAAATTAAAAAAAATTAAAAATATAGCATTATAGTTAATAATGCTATAATGCTATTGCACTATAAAATAAATCTTTTTTAAAAAAATCTAAATCATAAAATTTTTACTATTTTTATTCAAACTTTGAGATCCAAATTATTATTATAGATAGTATTTATATTCATCTATTATATACAAAAATTCAACCAATTTATTTTTGTAGTTCTTTAATAATTGTTTGTATATAATAGTTAATTTTTTAAAAAACTGATTATTGGATTATCATATACAAGCAATTAATTAAGAACTACCAGACCAAATAAGCCAAAATTTTTAAATATAATTAAAGAATACTATTACTATATATAATAAAATTTAAGCCAATTTTAATTAATAGTTATTGTGATATATATCATTAAAGATTTATTAAAAATAGCATACCAGATTATGCTGTAATCTTCCTACTTATAATACGCTAATCTCTGTTACAAAAAAAAAGTAATGGGCCCCATGAAATACCCCTGCATCAGTAAGGGTATTTCATAGGGCCTATGACTTTTTTTGTAACAGAGATTAGTGTATTATAAGTAACTCCGTTAATCAGAGATTTTAAAGTCTGCCTTGGTGGCAGGGTCACGTGACTTTCACCATTTTGCATTCCTGCAAAATTGGCAAAATTCAAATTCTGCCGAATCTGAGTTTGAATTTTTGTTGTCTTTTATTTAAAGTTGATGCCAATAATTTAAAATAATTAAAAATAATAAAAAATATAGAAATTTAACGATAATAAAAAAAAAAAACTAATTTAAAAAAAAAATTATATTTAAAAATTAAAAAGAAACAATAACATTAAATTAAAAAAAAAAT